GCCTTAATTGCCTATAATTGGCTCCCCAAGCAAGGGCATTTTTATCCACAATCAAGCTTGTAAATCATCAAAGAAGCAATTTTGCATTAAGAAAAACAAAAATTACTTTTTTACAGATAAGTATTCTTGTTTTGCTTCTAAAAATCTGATAGTTTGGATGTTAAATAACAATTTTAAATTAAAATTTAAGCAAGCCATAATTCTTTCAAAATTTCACAGTAAGTATTTTTCAAATATCACAGGGGAGCATTTGTGCTCAGAAAATAATTCACTTTGCCAAACACTGGCTATGTAATTTTTTATTGAAAGTTATATATATTACCTGAAGTAATAAACATAACTCCTTTATGTATGTAAGACTATTTCTAAAATTCTTAAACATTATTTCTGATTATAAGTATTTTCTTCCAGTGAAAGACCTGCAACAGTTAATTATATTTTAATTTATTCACAGCAGGTGCATTGTAAAATGCTGCCTAGTGTAGAAAGTTTAGGGGAAAAATAAATGCAGAGTATAAAAATGAGATGTGAGATACCTACATAATATATTCATTACACTTGAGAATTATGCAGGTTTTGAAAGGAAATGAGTTGTGGCTGAGATGCTTTGTAGTGGCAACAGCAACAAAGCAAATTCAGTATTCAGAGATGCTATAAAGGAGCTGCATCAGCCTCATTTGTTCAGAGTGAGACATGGTCCTTCACACAGAGAAACAGGTCCTTTCATTCCAAGAACTGACACATGGGGATACATGCATAATCCCAGTTTTATGCTAACCCCTGGGAGCAAGGCACTGGGGGCTGGGAGGGAAAGGAGGAGGGGAATAGTTCTGTCCTCAGCCAGTTTTACTACCATTCCAGAAGAAAACAGTCATAATATAAACCCCTTTCACTGGGCTTCCTACCTGTTTAATCACTTCCCTCCAAAGTGTGAGAGGACTAACCCTCAGACATTCACACTCCAGAGACTCATATTTCCTCATGATCACTGTGAAACAGTGATCTTAGTTCAGTCTCTAGTGGACAAACACAGAATAAGTTAAGTCTTAGAAGCATGATTCAGCAGGCAATTTCCTCAAGTAAAATCATATGTGTATAAAAACAGAAAACAACTTTCCTCTTTTTAGTGCTTGTCTCAGCCTGCCAAGGCACAATAAAATAATTTCTTTTCCTCTACATAAAACATCCGCTTATTTCCAGCCCTATATTCCCCAAGGCAGATCAAGACATTAAAAAATGAGAGAAGTAGTATGAAAATTAAATGCTTGGTTATATTTTCTGCATAGAATCTCTTCTCTCTTGCTATGGACAGATATGCAAGAGAACAAATAATTTATCAAAAACTCTATAAATTCAAGTAGAGTTAGGTGGGTGAGGGACCTGTATAAGCTTTTTAGCATATTTATGTCATATGTAGTGTGTGGATGAAAGAAAACTTGTAAATGAGATAAGTTAGCAGCAACTGTGCTAATATGAAATTTCAGCCCTCCTAGTAGAGTCTTCATTAGAGTTTTATTGATGTTCATTCTTAGTATGAACTTCAGTTGGAGTTAAACCCTGTATCTCTTGAATAGGTACATACAGAAGTTTTCTTGTACCAGATTAAATGACTAGTTCCATCACTCAATTGTGCAATTTTCTAAGTTTTGCCAGGTCAAAATGGCAGCATGTGAATGGGAATATCACACACAGCTATATACAGACTGTTTATTTATTTTAACTGGTCAGCTACTCCAAACCATTTTCTTTACAAAGGTATGAACAATATCTGTGCAAGACATGTAATTTTACACACGTAAGTAATTATGCTAAGGTAACTAGAACTGCTCATATGAGTGAAATGATTCACATATTTAAGCCTTTCAGACCCAAACTTCATAAAAATAATTACTTCTATTAAACTACTGCAACACCTTGAAACCCATTTTCCCCTTTCTAGGAAAGAATGCACATATATAAACACAAATTGAAGCAGACTGTCAAGACCAGTGTATTCAACATGGCTAAAAATGTTCACTGTGAAGTTTTAGAAGTGTAAATGTCTATATATTTTCCTGTTTTTTTCTAGCAACCAGAGAGGTAGAATAGTACTGCAGGACCTGTTTATGGAGGAACAATGATATTCTTAACCCAGTGCCCTTAAATGCTAATTTTTTTAAATGCTCCCTTTTGCTGTTACAGTAGCAGGTATCCTGCATGACATCTGAGCTGAATCTGTGAACTATAAGTAGATCCTATAAGAACTTAGTATGCTCTGTCAGTAGAGTCTCTGGAGGATTTCTGTGTCCTCCGACTCACACGCATCCATACTTTCTTGAAAAAAAACCCTTGAGAAGTCACATCTTTCAGTGAAGTGAAGAAAATCCAGCTCTCAAAAGCAATGTCACTAACAAGGGTGCACTCTGGCTAAAAGATTTCTTTCCTACACAGCCAAGAACTGTATCAATCCTTATTACTTCTGTCCTCATAGAAACTAAGAAAAACTTTGAACAGCATAAACATTCCCCAAAAAGTCATTTAGTGAGAAACAAAAAAAGAAGCACTTACTTTTTGCAGCCACTGAGTGTAATTTTCCATCACATGTTCCAGATGTTGCAGTTTCTGGGAAGAGAAATCCTGTTCCACGTGAGGAGCATCTCTCTGAAGAGCATTTGTGTTGTACTGGTCTGTTGTGCTTTCACGACAGTTCCCGTCCTGTTCCGGCAGAATGAAAGTATAGGTGCACTGCCCGTGCTGAACCCGGTTAAATCTTCTCCCACTGCCTTCTGAACCCCGGCGCTGGTTAGAACAGCCTACAAGAGCAAGAATCATTGCCAGGAAAGCTAAGGAAAAGAAAACTGACATGTTATTTTTACTTTCCTTTCCTGCTTTAAGAAAAACTTTTTCTTCCTCTTTCTTTAAATTTGTTCTTAATTTCCCTTAAAGTCTTTGGAAAAAAGAGCGGAGCAGCACACTTTAACAATCAAGCTTGGATAAACTGGGTTTTTTTAATTTCACTGTGAGGATAGCTTCCTTAGTTAAAATTGGGAATATTTATTGCATAGTAGCTAAGATTTATTGTTTCCTCTCTGTTACAGTCCAGCATGTAGCTTGCTTTAGTCAGCTGCATATGCATATCCCAGTCTCTTTCCCCTACACTATCTGCTGCAGAACTGCTATTTTCTCTCAGGCTTCAGTGAGTTTTATTAAGGTTGCACTTTCAAGCCAAGCTGGAAGCAAGCAGCCTTTCACAAGACGACTTGACAGGAATGCGTGTATGAGTGCGCCCCTATGCTAAGGATGGCTGATGGCTCAGTACAGAGGGATCATCTTACAAACTGGCTGGATGCATGACCTCAATCATGCATGTCTGCCCAGCCCCTGCTGCACACAACTGCTGGGGGCTTTGGGTGAATTCACGTAAGTTTAATAAGTCAGTCCACCTTAATACACTTCATATGTTTGCACTGACCTATTAAAATGTAGATAAAGTGTAGAAGTTTGTTGTAATCCCTCTGTAAATATACAAAGCAGTGAAATTAAAAATACTTTCAGTTCTGCGCTGCACTGTATCTATTAAAGAATTCTAGGTCGGGCTTATGACACTTACAGGAAAAAAAAGTTAAGTTTAACCCTCACTAGGTTTATCTAATTTTCTAAGATTGTTGTGTTTCTTTAACAGCTTTCAGAGAGCTGTTTTACATCTTATGTTGAAATTAGAGTTGCCAAATAGTAACGGCAAAAGGCAGCTCAGAAGGATAATAATTTTCTGTGTTAGGTATCTAAATGAAGGTAACTACTTAAAAAACAGTGAGAGCTGGTGACTGAATTATTCCAGATTATCTTCTGTACCACTGCATAGTTATCACTTGCATAACACCAATTTGCAAATCTCTTTGGTCTATACAGGCACCCTATGGTACATGCAGAAACTTCCTATGGGGCAACTTCCTCAGAATAAGGCTGTGGTAATTGCTTAAGAAACTATCTTAAATTGTCTTATATCTTTGGTAGACAAATAAAAATGTACAGATTACAACCAGGACTGGAATATTCATGAAATTCAGAGGAATTTGGATCTGAGTTCCTGCACTAGTATCCGTTGTTGTTAATAAATATCAGCCAAAACTAATGTAGAGCACTTTGCACAATATTTCCCATGAAAGTAAGTAATCTTCTAAATAGTGATAGTGCATCACTAAAAAAAACATCAAGGAGACTTACTTGCACAAATACAGAGTGCAAACAACTTCAGTGCTCGTGTGATTGTGACCTGTACCACAACTACCATGTCATTCTAAAAGACCTGCCTGAAATATTTAGCCAGGCATCTGTCCTATTCCTATGAAAGCTATTCCTACTCAAACTGCAAAACATCTTGCATCTGGAAAGAAATCACTGCATTTGAACCAATAAAAAATATTCCCTACAATAAAATAGAAAAAAAAAGAGAAATTCATGTTGCTCTAAATTTTTTATATATCCAGCATATAGAGAGAGAAAAGAAAGGGAAGAATACAAAGCAAAATGCAAAACATCAATGCTACTGTTGCTTTGAGCAAAATCAGAATATCCTTCCACCTCTGAACTGTTCAGGCCAACATAGCGCTTGTTTTTCTGCTTCTGAAAACCCTCTTCTTAGTTTGTTTTCTTCCTCACATACAGGATTTCTCATAACTCACCATCAGCACCAGAACTAATGCTGTTGTGTTTTTTCACACTGGCTTTGCAATTATTGTGAAATGTATTTCTGAGGTATTTGCTCATCTAAGATCAGAGATGAAAAAGGAAGAGAACTGTAGGATCAGACACGAAACTGAAGGGCTAGCAAAAAAGCAGCTATTCTCTAAGGCAAAGCAAAAATACCAGAGCAAAAACATGGCAACAATACTTGCTTTTCTTGTAAGTAAAAAAGAGTACTTTATGAAAGGGCCTCAGAGCAGCTGAAAGAGGGATAGCAAAGGTGGGTGTACAAAGGCTTCCTAGATTTTTAGTTGATATTTTCAAATATGAACACACATTTAGACAAATGCCTCATTCATTTTCTGCAGAGCATTTAAGAATCAGATTTATTCACATGCAAATGTGGAAAAATGAGATTGCAAATTTACAATTGATGTTTTTCAGATGAGGATTTCACAGAAGAGCTGGTTCACTTTGTTGCTGTTACCGGCCCCTTCCTGCTGGCTTGAGGTGGCTTTTCCTTCCCCTTCTGTCCCCTTCTTCCTGAGGGATAACAGCCATCAAGACATTTAAGAACCATGCAGGGTTACCAGGTGTCTTTGACATTTGCTTGTTTGTCTCCAGCTTAGCTCCCCACCACAGCACCGACCCCTCAGACCCCCTACCCCAGGCCCCGAAAGGATGGGTCAGGGGCAATGTGCAATTTTCAGGTGTCGCTGCAGGGAGATGTGGCAGAGCCATGGAGCAGCCAGAGCATCTCCTACCAGCACTCTGCACTAAGGCTTCTTTACCGAAGAGAATCAACTGCCCCACCCACACACTGCCCACATCTGACCTGTAGCAGTAGTGCCTCTGAGACATCTTGTGTGTCCAAACACGCGGGGTCTCACACAGAGCCAGGGAAAGGGTGGCAGGAGTCTGCTGGAAGCCCAGGAAACATTCTGTCACTCCTGGTTTGCAGCCTTTCTAGCCCACTGGGAGGCACAGAAAGGGACTCATGAATTGTGATGGGATGCCCTTAAATATTTTCAAGGGCTCCTTGAAGTGTCAGCACCTGTGTTGGCTACACAGAAACTCAGCAAGCTTTAGGGCTGCTCTGGCTGACCACAGAGTTGGAGCAATTCACCGTGGTCCCCAACTAGAATCACAGACATTCCCAGTCCTGTAACACAGGGACCAGCAAGGTCAGTTTGCTGTTTCCCCAGACACACAGCAAAATCATGTTGATAAACACACTGAAGCAAGCAGGCCAGGTTCAGTTTACACTCCTCCCTGACACACTCATGGTTCCCTGCCTACATAGGCAGCAGTGTAACAACCAATACTGAAAGAAATATTTTCTCCAGATCTACAGATTATTCCATTTTATTCCAAATTGCAATGTTATAAGGAATTCCATTTTATCTAAGGACAACAGATTCAGAAATAAGAAGCATTTTCGTTTTCTAAAGTTCCTTATTCCTATTGTGTTTTCTTTTTCTTGTTGTAAGCCTTGCTTTTCTTTTTGCTCTTCTTTTCTTTTCAAAAATCTTGCTCAAGAGTTTCAGTGGTTTGATTCTTATACCTGATTTGATAAACGTACAGTTTATTATTCCAGTACCACGTGGTCTATGTGACATGTCCTAGCTTTGCAAGAGCTGAAAATTTCAGCAAGATGAGGAAAAAATAGTTCTCACAGTTCAGTCAAAGTCGCTGTGGGTATTTCTGCAGGATCTTACATTATATCCTACAGATAAAATCTAAATTATTTGCCCAGGATTGCACAGTTGTTCAACCAGAAACTGAGTAGGGATGTGTTTAAAATGTTCTTTATTTTCCTAAGACCACTTCCTCCATCACAATTATTAGTTTCATGTTCCTTGAACTTTTCCTTCTGTGTAACAGGGAAGGGATGGATCCAGAGGCTTCCTTCCCAGACCATGCAAAGTCTCAAATGCATCATTTATTTAGTAGCTATGTAAAATACTGTAGCTCACTATGTAATCAATCTGACAAGGCAAAATAAATGAGAATTCAACATCCAGATAAAGGTTACATTCACATGATATTGGTTCCTACATATCTAGAATTAATGCAAATAGTGTCTTTTACCAATATATATGCATGCTCATAGTTCAATTATAAATTATTGGAAAACAAAATCTATTTCTCTCTCTTTACATTTCTGCTGAAATACATGTTATTGCTGCAGATGAGTTGCACTAAGGTTGCATCATGCCACATGCAGTGCTTGGAATTACTCCAACTCAGCTTCCTTGGTGTGTATGGGAAATCAGTGCAGAGTGGCTTGTGCGTATAGCTATAATGAGCAAGATTTTCTCTCTCAGTAAACCAATAGTAGAGCATAAAACCATTTATTCTTATTGTAGCACATTCCAAAGAACCTCATTCTACATATAAAAATTCTAAGAAATAATATGAGATCTTAAGTCTCATAACCCTGACTTGTTATGTGCTAATGCTTCTCCAGTTACTTTGTGGAGATGGCCCCATTTATTCATAGCATACAATACCTGTATGCTTTCTTTCCTTGCTCTCCAGGGAACAAGCAAGTAATCATCTCAGATAAATTCTTCTTCAGGACTAAAGCTTGTATACTCACATGAACATACTTAAGGCATGATCCCACATCATGCTGCTTGCCAGATTCTTCCTTCAAAGGAACACAGTGATGGGTGCTCAGTCACGCCACAGGCCAGCCCAGCTCTCCCAGGATTTGATTTCACACCTGAGAACAAGTAAATAGCTCTGAGCATTAACAGAGTGGCAAAAAAACAGCTTTTAGAAGAAGATGGTGGTTTACAGAACATCTGAGTTATGGTTTATGCTGCACAACCTGTCTAAATTTTGTCTCACACAGAAGGTTTATTGGAGTCTTTCCAGTATTATGGCAGATAAGAGAGGTAAATGTTTCCTAAAAACTTTTTTCTTGATGTGGGAAAATCAAGCTGTTCTTACATTCATAAGCAATCTGTGAGCTTATGCATGTAGAGACAAAGCACATAGATTACTTCTGATGAACTTGCTCTCATTCCCTGGGAAAGGAGGGAATGTTACAAGCATCCTCTTGTTATCTGTTTAGGGTAAGATTTGTCCCGTATTTTCAAAATTTCTGGATACTTGAGCTATTTTCAAAGACCAACTCCAACACTATCAAAGAGGATAGAGTATATATTGCACAGTAATGGAACACATTGAGTATGATATTTCTGTTTCAAAGGATAAAAATACATGTCTTAATCAAAATGCCTGCTGAAAAGATCAACAGCAATCTTCCCCTGTAAAGCCTAGAAACAACCAAAAACCTGCCTGATTTTAAAAGAAAGACATTTTGTATGCCTACAGGCATTCCAGCCCTATCATCTGAAAGTGCCTTCTGTTGCAAATTAATTGAAAGTGCAGTTTGGTGGAAATTATTTATCAGCAGTGTTGTTTAGTTGAATGATTTATTTATTCTGTGAATTATCTCTGCATCATAATGCTCACCAGGGAAATTACAGGGGACAAACAGCAATCTATTGGTGTGTTACCTTCAGCTCCTGACTCAATTTAACATGTAGCCTCAAGTGCAATGCTACATGCATGTTCTTGAGTTCACAAAGCAGGAACCACAACAGCAAGATTTGCCTAAGAAAGGAATAATTGCAGTCCCTTAGTCAAGTGTAAATAAGAAAGATTATTCCAAATACTGTTAAAAGTTGAACATTTAACAACAACAAAAAAAAAACCCCAAACAAAAACAAAAACACTGAGGCTTCTTCAAACTCTATGGACTAGCAAATTTTCTTTCCTTTGGAGTCTTAACTCAAATTCTTAAGATTAGAGCCTTCTTTCCTAATGGAAACCAATATTCTGATTCAGTTGCTTAAAAAGCCTTGTTTCTGAGGAGAATTAGCTACATAAATGTTAGAGACACAGGACAAAATATTGGCTGCAAAATCTCTCACATTTTCCAAAGAAGAAATAGGAGATCTACCCACTCTTCCTGAGCAGGATGCTCCTGTGAGCTCAATATTTCTTCTGTATCAGAAAGTTTTTTCCTCATAGGCCTCTTTATAGCCCAGATTTTTCACCTCAGCAGCTGCAACAAAGAGGGAGATGATCCCACTGACAAGGATGGTCAGAGCATTTGGAGGTGAGCCCCAGATATAAATCCTTCTACTGCCTGGTATGGAGAGACCTGGCATGGTCCTTTTGGGTTTGCGTATTCATAGAAAAACATGAGTTCTTATTCTGATTTCTTCTGCTGGTTGAGACACATTAGCCAGACTCCCTATCAACTTTAATGTCACCAACTGCAAAATTCCGTCTTTGCTGTTCTACGACATATTTAAAATTGAAATGTAAATTCATATTTCACATAGAAATGGACATAAACCCAGGTCAGTTTGCAGTATTTAAGTCCAACAAGAATTTAACTATTTGGCTAAAGTACATTTAGAAAGAATATAGACCTACTACAAACGTAGATAGGTTTTTCTGATTAAGATTGATTTTCCTAAAATTTTTACCTAGAACAGACTTAGATAAAATAATCCACAGGACTAGAATTTTATTGCCTATAATGCTGTGGTAGAAGTTATGAACATCAACGTTTTCCCTTGAGATTTTGTGGAGCTCTGATTAACTTCTACACACTTTTTGAAAAAAGCCTGCAAATCAAAGGGACTAGAAAAAAATGGCCTGGAAGATATGTAATCTATACACCAAGAGACAAAGACAAAAAAAGCTTCAGAGAATTCACCAAGTCTTTATTTTACAAGTTTCTGTGAAAAGTCTGGTATTATCACTTTTCTAGAACAATCATAACACATCTTCTGCATTCAGTCAAAAGAAGGATGAAACTCATCCTTTAAAAAGCTAATAGTTAGTTATGTTGGTGAAATACCAATCTTTTGATTTAGCTGTAAAGTGGGAAAACAGTTTACAGTTTAAATCCTTACAGTTTAGGATTGCTGCTCTTGTTCGAGTCCAACTTTAGAACAGTTGTTTTAGATGTCTATTTAAAAGGAGAATGTGACAAATGTAATGATGTTTCCAAAATGTATTTCATTTTAAATGTGAAATTGAGTCCCAAGAGTGAGCATCTTTTTGGATTCATGTTTTATTTTTCATTAATGGCAACATTCAACTCCATGTGTTCTTTCAGCGTTCATCTAACTTAACTTTTTGGCCAAAGTTTGACTATAACAGGAGAAGAAGAGGCCAATAGTAATGATATTACCCACTGCAACCAGCCCAGTTTTCCAGCATCCAGAATCACCTCACTGGTTCTTGTTCTAGAGAGGACAAATAGTATGAAAGGAAGCAGAGAGCAGAACATGAACAGTAGAGATGTTTTTGACACAGACAATAGCAAGATTTATAACATAGGCAACCTAGCTTGTAAGCTACAGCATTCTCTGCTGAGAGGAAACACTTTAAATGCAGTAAATGGAACAAACCCAAAAACAATGACAATGTTCTTCTAAAACCTGGTGAAAGACAACATAAAATTATTTGCATTTCAGTTGAAACTATAGGAAATATAAGCTCACCATGGCTATGTCAATCTATCACAGGTCTGACAAGCTCAGATTTTGCAAAATATAAATCCTTAAAATCTTACTGTTTTCTCTGAAAGAGAGTCAGAATGTCCAGTTCTTTCTCCTACAGGACAAATAGATTATATATTTGTATTACTACATGCATTTTCAGGAATTAAGTCAAATACTGATGGAATACTTTGATAGCAAGACTGCCATATTAGACTTCCATCTAGGTCCTTGCAGTCCCTAAAACCATGGCAGCTTCCTTACATTCAGTCTATTTATTCACTCATTCCCAGCAACTAGGAGTTTATGTACTGGGTGATAGATATAGCAGACAAAAAGGCAGGAATAAGCCACAAGGAATCTGAGGTATAAGACGTAAATAAACAGCAGTGCAGCCATGGAAAGGGAAAGGCACAGAGAGACAGTCTGAAATTAGGAATTGCAAGCATTTCTTATTTAAGAAGGTCATTTATAAATAAAATATATCTTATATTTTATAGTGTACTTTCCTCCCCACACCTATTATTTATTTTTGCAAACAGCTTCAGGTTTCACATTCCGTATGTGTATACGAGGCAGACTTGGCTTTCTGAGCAACATTCTGGCAGCATCCCCATAGTACCAAAATTCATCATTAACTAACTAGAAACCTCAATCAACTGGTCAAAATTATTTTAAGAGACCAATCAGCCTCTTCCCAATTGTACATGTCATTTTTAATCAGGAAACAAGAAGCCAGACAATGCAAATAAAGAGCAGTGAGGTAAGAGGATAGCTATGGTTTGTGAGCAGCTTTCTGTGGAACTGCAGCAGCAAGGCACGCCAGCTGCACCGCACTAAATAGCCTCCCTGCATCCACGTGTCACACGTCTTGGATGAAATAGAGGATGCACTCATCCTATACTTAGACAGCAAGCTGTCATAATTTTATGTGGGAGAAACATTTCTCAAAAATTGGCTCTGATTAATTGGCCTGTTAGACTCAAGGCATTAATAGAAGTCAGAGGCAGTATTTTTGAACAAAGCTGGAAAACACAGATAGAAATCCATGTCCTGAGGACTCGGGTATTCCTAGTACTGAGGCACAGGCATTGTACTGCATATCTCTAAGCAGCCCTCTGGTGCAGATGTCCCATGTCACACTGCAGTCACAGGGAAGGAGTGCTACCTTCCCTTCAGAGATCTTTTCTAGCCCTTTTGTACAACCTGCTCTGGTACATAAGCCTAGCGCTGGGTGTAAAACTCACTCTGCAGGATGCTGTAGGATTGTGGTTCCCTGTAGAAAGCAGTCAGACACACTGTTTGAGAATGACACGTGTAGCATATGGCTGGAATATAGGTCCCATGCTTCCACCTCACACTAAGGATCTCAAAATGCCCAATCACTATAGACATAAAAATGAAGATAATGGAATTACAAATATCTTTGGTTTCATCTATTGCCAATCATTATATAAATGCTGTAGCAACTGTATTGAATACAAACATAAGTATAATGAGATTTGCAGCCAGTTCTTCAGCCACTTCTGCGAACACAGGACAGTGTAGGACCTGTGATACCCCAGAAATACTTCTTCTGCTGTTGTATTCCTTGGAAAAACAGCTCTGAAAATGAGCACCAGAGCCTGGACTGTGTCCTCAGGAGCATGTGTGCTTAGGCACCAGGTCACTGGAGCACCAGTAGCCTGAGAGCTTCATTGCAGCTCATATTATACGAATAGAACACAGAATGGGTTGAAGTACAATATTTTAAAATGAACGTTTTTTTCTCTGCGTACAATACTTACTGTACATCTCACATACATTAACCCATGGTACTCAAATGACCCACTGACTCCAATAACATTTAACTCAAAGATGAACTCTTAATTCACTTTGGTCATCATAAAGCCATCAGCACACTACTAGGCATTTAACTACTGTATGCCAATAAAAATGTTGTTTAAACTGTTAACTGCCTGTTTAAAGCAGTAATTAATCCCCAAGATCAACACCTTCGAAATTATTGCCACAGGGCAATATTAAATATTAACCTTGGCTCTTGGGGAATGTTGGGCTCATGACCTGGAAAGGGATCACTCTTGGTAGTTTAGGGTTTTCTCCCCTGGTTTGCCATTGAGATGTATAATTCTTAGAAGAAAGAAAATGTCAAAACCACTATTCTATTTTTAGCATCCTTGATTAGCCTTCTTACTCAGAATGTGATGTTTTCTAACTGCAACTTTCTCTGCATATTTCCTGTGAAATAATTAAACCCCATCCTTTGGAAAAGGTAAAAATTATCTTGGTGAAATGATGAAAAATGGGTGGGAAATGACATGAGGAAATTAACGTTTTTTCTTCTAAAAGGATGACCATCCCTCTCCTGTTTGGAGACTGTGCTCAGCAGATGCCCACTGAACATTTATCAGCCATGCATGACCAGGTAGGTCCCAGAGCAAGAGCCAAGTTTATGGCACTGAGCTAATTTGAGATGTAACTGCTGGAATAAGAGGAGGCAGAGAAGAAGCACAGTAAACAGGAGAGAATATAGGTCTGTATCCAAGTATTACTATTGGTAAAGTGCTTTACATCCCTTGTATAAAAGGTAAAAAAAAAAAAAACAACAGGTGTGTATATAACATCCTGTATTCAGTTATTTCAGTAATTTATACAACACTGTTATTGTGCTTTATAAAAAGTACCATCTGGCCAATAATATTTTTATATGGAAAATCATTATTTTAAAACAAGTGGCTAAATGAGGACAAATTTAGCCATCAAAATTCTGAGTACATCTTTGAAGATGCAAACCAGATCCAAGCAAACCAGGCTCTATGGAATTTTTTTGCATGATACAATTTTGCTCCTTACAATCTGAAGTGTATAAAACAAATATCCTGTACACAGATTTTTCATCTGTCCTAGCTACACACATCCAAGTCTGAAGAACTCAGACTTGGATGTGTGTAGCTGGGACAGATGAACTCAGGTTCCCTTCATGCCCTGCATGACATGACACTCTATAAGTGTCTGGGACCACTAATAAGGGATTAAGTGCAGAGTGCAGTGACATCTGATGTGTTCTGCCTACTCCACCCTTGATTTATCTGCTCCTGCAAGTTCTCTATGGCTCATTTGCTATTTTTAAATCATTATTTTTATAAATATGGAACCATCATTCTCAATGCTGACATAGGCAATAAGCAAGGATAAACTCACCATTCCTCAAATATACTTTAAGGTAGCTGGACATGGAAACCAAGGCTATGCATCTGAAGGCACCCTCTGTGCACCCCTCTGGAGGCAGGGAGGCTGTCAGGCTTTGTCTAGTACAGCAGAAGCAGACAGTAAGGTCTATGGGAACTGAGGAATTACGGGTGAAGTTGTAGTGTCATTATTATTTTGCCATCATACTGTTTTTCTTGCTTTTTTGAACTAAATTGCACATACCATTTATGTTCTGCTGGGGCTTGTCAATTTGTGAGGTATAAGCATCAGGAGGTGCCACTTCATGTGCTGTTCATTAGAGAAAGAAAACCCATATGACTCCTCCAAAATTTCTGTAGCAGGGACTAACAATTTATATTTTGAAAGTTGTTTTGTGCTTTCCGTTTTCATCCTACCAAGCATTCAACAGCATAAGAAAAGTCTTGAAGATTTGAATGGGAATATAAGCAAATATAATTCAGAGCAGAAGTGATGTTAAATACTCTAAAGCAAGGCAATCTCTCAATTAATAAATGTGAAGGAAACAAGACATCATCATAGTTACAATTTTCATTAAATTAAAATCCTTAAGATTATCTCATTCTCTCTGTTTTCTGCAACACTTTCAAAGTTAAAACTTCTTTTCCTCAGCCTTTCTCAGTGTACCTTTCTGCCATAGCATTTTCCAGAATCAGGTCCTATGAAGTCTATCATTCCTAAAAGTGCAGGGCCTCAGAAGAAAGTGGAATCTAAAACTGTAAGAAGCACAGGAATATTTGCTTACAGAGTCTTAACAGAGTCTGTAAATACTCTGAGGAGTATTAGAGGAAGTCTAAAATGCTTACTCTAATACTTTTTAGCACCGTTTTTTAAATTATTACATGATTAAAACATTTAGCTGAGGATATCATGCAAAGAAGAGAAGTGGCTTCACTGTTGCATCAGAGATTAAACAAAACCAAGAATATTTGAGCTCAGTAGACAGATCAGTACTGATGGAAAGATTTCAGCTTCAAAGTGCAGTCTTCTTTATTGACATGATGTAAAAGACTCAGTTCAGACTGTGATCCACATAATTTACAGAAAGTCAACCATATGGTATCCAGACAGCTATTGAGCTGCTCTGAGGCACTTTTCAATCAAACCATAGTGATGCAAGGTGCTTGAGCAGCAAGCTTGAAGCTGCCTCTACTAAATGGTTTAGAATGCCCTGACAACACAGGCTGCTGCAAATAAGCGGATCTTCCTCTGTACTCTGACAAAATTTCATGACAATTCAAAATCTTGTCCACTTGACTAATGTGTTGCATGAACATTGCCCAAGATATCTAATTATCTACTAAAGATCATGGGTGATAAAGGTCTTCAAGAGCAACGGAGCTCAAAAGAAAAAGATCATCTTTTCAGGGAAAGAAGCTGGTTGATTGTGTTTAAATGGAAAGTACCTTACATGTTTCTAAGTCCAGATGGAAAGCACATTTCTCTAAAAAGTATTTAATCACCATAAATACATGGCCTTTTTCTTAGTTTTATGGTTTTATTTTCATTAGGTTGTGGATTTTTTGTTAGTTGTCTCAGCAATTTTGTTTGTTTGTTTGTTTGTTTGTTACATCTTAAAACCTACTTATTTGTCAAAAGTCCTGCGCAAAGGCTACTTATATGTCACAAAGGCAGGAGACAAGTATTATGATTCTCTAGTCTAAACAACACTCTGATGATGTGGAACATGCCTTAAGAAATGAGAAAGAAACAACTAGGGGAAAGGAAATATAACTAGGCTGTGATTTTGTGATAGGTTCTATTATAATTAACTAGTGTATTTTCATATACATAAATATTTCCTCAGATGAGCAAAAAATAGAAGTGTTAGATGAAATTGGAGGTTAGGAAGCTACTGGAAAGTTGGGGTGAGATTCATGTCTACTGTCCCATTGGTGGGAGACTTCTGATGGTGGGGATTTATAACAGGAGAAAAGGGTTTTTGGAAATATGTTGCCTGTGCATATCAGCATGTCTATATGCAGAGGAATCTTATAGCAAAGTAGTTCTCATTAATGTTAAACCACTACTGCCCTTTTTTATCCGAAAAGTTAAAAGAAAACTGAAGTGAGAAAAGCTGCTTGTGCGTAGTTCGGCCTCAAAAAAAAAACTATGTGTTTTGTTGTACAAGAGTCTACTTTAACTCTTTTCTAAGCAATAAACATAGAAGTTTTGAGCTAAATTGATTATGATGGGAAAATCATTATTAAAATCCAAATCTCTTCAGCTTTATGCTACTGCTCTACATTTAGGCACTGCTTTGATTTTGCTGTGTTACTAACCAAAGAAAAGGACAAAGATCACCCATGATGGGACCTCTTACACAGATTCTACTACTAGTAAAAAAAGTCATTAAATAGTTTAAAAAAGATAAAGGTAGGTAAGCTGTATTTAAGCAGATAAAAAATTGAACAAGATACTCATACAATATCTTTCATGTTCATGTAAGATTTAAGGGATGCAGTGGAGGCATATTTATAATTTTACTTTGGAAAAAAAAACCCACTCAAAATTAAATCCCTTCTAGGATATCCATCCTTGTAGGAGAGGCTACTTCATAAAACATTATTTTCAGTTCACGTGCACTTATCTATACAGGCTTTTAGAATATGTTTCAAACCAAAGGAAGTCTCAGTCACTGGAGCAAAGCAAAGTCTAGATTGTCAGAAGTTAGTTTGATCTCTACAGCACTGTCACTAGTATGTTTTTGCTAAATATTTGAATCATTGAATCGTTGAATTTGGGAAAAACCCTCTAGGAACATAAAGTTATCCCCACACCGTCAAGTCCACCACTGAACTGTCCCTGAGCGCCCTGTCCACACGTCTTTTGTACACATGCAGGGATGGTGACAGCCGCCTCCTGGGGCAGTCAGTCTGTCCCAAGGCTTGACAGCACTTTCAGTGAAGAAAGTTTACCTAACATCCAGTCTAAACCTCCACTGGTGCTACATAAAAACATTTCCTCTCATCCTATTTCTTGTCACAAGGGAGAAGAAACTGAGCCGCACGTCTCTACAACCTCTGTTCAGGTGGCTAAAGAGGGCAGCAAGATCCCATTTGAGTCTGCTTTTCTCCAGGCTAAACACCCCCAGCCCCCTCAGCCACTCCCCACGAGACCTGACATAGATGCTTGAGATTCCTGCTCTGCCCTGATCCAGGAGGCGGGGGTGTTTGCTGGTTTGTTTGGCGGTGTTAGGGCAGTGACAGAGCGGCTCGCTCCCGCGCTGTGGGCAGCCTCTGGGGCCGCCAGCCGCTGCCCGGGCTCCGGAGCGCCCCGGGCCGCTCTCCCTGCGGGCCCGGCCCGGCCGGAGCGCGCGCGCCCCCTGCCGGCCGCGAAAGGCCGGGCCGCGCAAAATCTCCGTGGCCTTTGAGGGCCGGGGGCTGCCCGCAGCGGTCTGAGCGCTCCGCACTTCCCGCAGTTCCTGCAGGGCAGCGAACCGCGTTCCAAATGCAGCTGCAGCGGCAGAAGAGTGAGAGGCGGGGCGCCGGTGTGGGCAGGGGGCAGGGGGGCAGAGCTCCCGTCCCGTGCTTAACCCTTCCTTTAGCAAATGGAGCGAGTGTACCCCCGGCTCCGCCAGGCCAATTCCTGACCAGCTGCAAGTACCACTAGCAGATCTCTAGCAAAAATATATCCTTTTAATGACCTGCAAAGAGCACAGGAAATTAATCCTTTCTTTTGCTGCATATTTCCCCTAATTTTCTCTCATTTTCTAAACAAAGTTGAAAACATGAATAGAGATTCAGGTTGCCAGTGAAACCTACATGTTGGCTTGCAGCTCATTGACGTTTTCTACGTGTAATCGCCAACTAAAAGATCCTACAGATTGAAGTGGTTCCACTGGAACAAGATGCCCACAAACGCTGTAAGTGCCCCAACCCTGAAATTGTTCAAGATCAGGCTACAAGGGGCTTTCACCAACCTGGTCTAGTGGAAGGTGTCACTGACCATGGCAGACAGCTTGGAACTAGAAGATCTTTAAGGTCCCTTCTTCTCAACACATTCTGTGATTCTGTGTAATTCTGTGAAAGTTTCCCACTTCAATTTTCACACTACTACATACTTCATTATTAAAAGTATTTCAACTATTGTTCCCTCCACAATATTCAAAGCTGAAAATTTTCCAGAAGTTGGATTTAATCATACCAGAATGTGATTTCATGATTAGAGGCTGTCTTAACAGACATATTCTTCATAAATGAAGAAAAAAAATAACTAAGCCCCTCACTCAGTCCGGGCAATGTCATATTTCTGGCACTAGCAAAGGCTTTTTTGTTAAAAATGCCTTGTACAAATGATAAATCAGCTTCACAGCAGGGGGGAAATCTTGAAGGCATTAAAGTTAATGAAAATTTTTCCATGGGACTAGGATTTTGCCTAAAAATATTTATGCTACTTTTTCAGTAACTCTCTGACTGTACAATCTTACAACAGACTTTACTGTAGCCTTGGTAAAAGGATCTGGGCTTGGACCCAAGCCTCAATCCCTTATCAGACTAATTCTACTTGTTTCAGTCAGCTGTAAACAATTGATACCATCACTAAAAAGTGCAAGAAATCTGTTATAAATAATATTATCTGTCCTTGGAGAAATGTCATTCTCCCCTTTACACACAAAGCTGACCTATATGTAATCTTAAACTCCGTGTAGCGACATTAGCATTTCAGAGTGCTCAAAACTCAGGGCTCACACTGCTGTGTGTGGTGTGTGACTAACACATCAGTCCTTCCTAAAGAAAGAAAGGTCTCAAGCCCCAGGTCTGTGGCACCAGACGCCTACACAGGTCACCAGTGAAGGCAAGGAGGTGCAGGATATCTGCGAACGAGAACTGAACCAAACGGACAGATTGCTTCAGACTGGCTGAAAGTAGTTGAGCAGAGAACTCTGAATGCCCTTACAGTTTTACAATGGCAGCATTCATGCACATTTGTACAGGATTCTGCTCTGGCTTCTTTATTCCTGTAACTTGCATGAAGATTCAAAAATCTTTTAACTACAATGGTTTATATTTTCTATCAGGTGCAAAATGAGACAAAATTAGTCACTGAGAGCAAAAGCAGAAAGAGGGTAAATTATATTTCGATATTTATGACCAGGTAGTTTTAATACTAACTGAAATGCTCAAGTAAGCAACAGTTCTGGTGCAAATATAAATTGGCACCACCAAAAGCTTCACAAATATGAGTGAGAGAGGAAGTGTTTATGTGAAGGGTACAGGTATGAATCAGTCTGTGCCAGTATGATTTGTAACGTAAAGCATACCAAGTACCAAAATAGCTGTTTCTTAATAGTGTAGGAAACCACATGCAAGGTTCACTTGTGATTTCAAATCTTTCATAGTCATTTAGAAGAGAAAGTAAACAACAATTTGCTTGTATGAAGGACACATAAGGAAGAATGAAGCTCTACTTCTACAGTGTAGGCTACAGCTCTTCTGTCACTTAGTTCTGTGCATTTATCATAGAATGATAGAATATGCTGAGCCTCCTGCCGTTTCCTCGAGTCTTGTCACTGGTCTCAAGAGTAGAGGGATTGGTACCTGCCCCTCCTCTTCCCCTCATGAGGAAGGTGTAACTGCAATGAAATCTCACCTCAGTCTTCTCCAGCCTGAACAGACCAAGTGATCTCAGCTCTTGCTCTTATAGATTTTTCTCACAGCCCTTCATCATCTTTGTTGCCCTCCTTTGGATGCTCCCTAATAGCTTAATGACTTTCTTATAGTGTGGTGCCCAAAACTGCACTCAGGATGCATTTGCTCTACTTTAGTGATACGGTCAGCATATAGAGAGTTTTAAAAGCATAACTAGAAGATAATCATAATTTAAATTTGTGATTACTTCTTGCAGTCTAAAATAGCACAGTCATATGTGACAAACATGAACGAATCTACCTTTTAGAAGTTCAAGAAATAATAGAATCTATCAAAAAGCCACAAACTATAGGTATTAAATAGAGAAAGAAAAAGTGCAAAAGAGATGAGGAATTAGTTATAAATTTTTTATTCAATTCCACCTAATTTTTATAAGATTTCTTGAATCCTCAATATTGTCATGTTTAATTTATGTCAAATAAATTTATTATATATGACCATGCAAGAATGGATTCCCTCATGGCTGTGTGTGTAGGACTCAGATGTAATACCAAACGAAATTATATAGTGATTTAAAAATCTATCTTCTTCTCATTTAATGTAAGCCTTGAGAATCAAAAAAATATATATTTACTACTTTCACTACACATTAAATTTTACTATCTATATTTTTATGAAGGCCAGACTACATTATATATTGTTCAATATACTAGCATACTTTAAATGTTAATTCTTTAATAGTGCTATCTGAAAAATATTTATAGAAAACCAGAATTTGAGTAGCTAACTTCTCTATAAAACTGAGTTTTCTAAAAAAGAAGGAACTACAATATAAAGTGTTTAAATATTTAAATTGTAAACTTTCGATTTTCATGTGTTTCTAAGACAGTGTTTGAATGCAACATTGGCAGAAGACCACAAATTGACTTCTGTGAAATAACCCTATTAATATATAAAGTAGCCCTGAAAAATTACTTGAACAAAACAACAAAGGTCAATGATAATTCTGCTTTCATTTTCACCCTTATGTTAGTCAGGGATATTTTGTAAAATGAATGATTGAATTGCTAAAGGAAAAGCTTTGATTAATTGCATGTCACTGTAGTTACTTTGTTTCTTGGTTTCTCTGTTAGGAAGGTAGAACAGAGTGCCTGGATCATCACAGCAATTTCTTTATTTGAAAGAAGGGAGGCAAGTACCATATGTATTTTTTAAAACATCCAAAAACAAACATCAAAATTGTCTTCTCTAATTACATATTTTCAGACACATTTGGTCTGAGAAGTAACTAGTACACAGACTGGTTATAAATATATATATATATGTATATGTGTCTGTATCTGTCATTTATGTAAATATAAATATATTCAAAAATATACAAATACATATGCAAATATATGTCTCTAAATAAAATAGGGTATGATATATAATGGTTTTTTATATATATGGTTACAAACCTATATACAAAGGAGCTGTAGATATAAATGCTTTGGCTTTGCATCTCTGTGGCTTTTCATAGCCTGTTGCTTGTGATTTCTTTAGCTCTTTATTGAACACCTCTCTCTCACATGCATTTCAAGAGCAGCCTTCAGTGAAGACCAAATCTCAAGTGGAGCTGCAGAACCCTTGTGTCCCCGCCAACCCCTCAGTTTACCTGGTAACACCTGCCGGCTGTGCATCCTGAATGAGCTAGCACCCAGTTTAAAGCATGCAACTGCTTCATTTTGGAACAATCTGCAAATGTTGTTTTTCATGTTTGCAGTTCCATTAGAAGCCAACAGTTCAGCTTTCTCTTGTTTTCTGTCTTTATTGAGACTCTTGGTAAAAGAAGGATATTCCTGGTGTTGGAATTCCAGAACTAATATTTAATACACTGAGGGCAGAAACATTTTTTTCACATAAAGACCAATTTATTTTACTATTTTAATTCGTTTAAGTTACTATTGATCTATTGTATACATAATCAGTGAAGTATATCTGGCTTTCCATTGCTAACAGGAGCAGATAAAAGAACATCTCACTATATAATATCAAAGACCTATAGCATTGTCTCAAATAATAACATTAAAAATTGAACTTTTTCTACACAATTAACAAAACATTATTTTAGTGAATGAACAGTGTCTAATAAATAGATTTTCCAGTAATGTTATAGTATTGTGTATGTGCCTTACGTTTTAAAATAATACAATAAGTTCTAAATGCTTACTAGATTATATATATTGAAATAAATGCATAAATTGATGTGTGAATTACTTTAAAGGACTGATACATAGCAGTTTGAAAATTTTCCTTAAAGAGGTACTTCTGTAAAATTTTGAGTGACTGAATTGTTTGACAAAGTTACAATCTGCCCACAAATACTTTGGAGCTAAGGGAGGCTATAATTGTTAGCTAAGATATCTGCTGCAAATTGGTTAAGCATCCAGTGATTAAAAGCTCTTTGAGGTCTGTATGTAAGTGCTCAGTATGAGTATTGCTCTTCTGAGTTACAGAGCCTTGGTACATTTGTGATAACCTCTTACCAGGGAGATTTTCGCTTTACTAAACCTGAAGTCAATTAATTGAAAACTTTCAAGGCCTGACATATAGTTTAGAAATATTCCAGACCTCAGCCTCATGTCTCACTGAAAACATTTACTTGTGACACAT